GACGTGGTTGCTTTTCCCTTCAGAATGGACCTCTCCCAGCTCGTATTAGTCGATACAAGCAAGCAGGTGACTAAAATAGCCCCATGTGCCGGTAGAGAGTACCATGAACCAAGAAGTGGCTCGCTGCAAGGCACCCTTGCTCCTGGTTACCTATCCCACACGCGCCTGTCTGGACAATACCAGCACCACGCGCGAAATATCAGCCAGCCACTATGTCTCTACGCTGTTGACTGCCCGGGCTGATCTGCCCTGTTTAATTTGCTCTGCTTGGAGCTGGGCGGCCGTCTACTGGCCCAGCTTGCAGTAGCCGATCGCTCACACGCCAGGTCAAGGTTGCATTTTCAGCCCATCCTCAGGCTGCTTGTTGCTTAGTCTACTTACGCGAAGACGCATCTGCTTCCGTGTTATATAACAATGGCCGGCCCCGAGCCGTCTAGTCCGCTTTGCTATTCTTCCGGACTACGGTGTAATCAAGTTGTCGAGTGCAGTGCTGCATCGTGTACATTGTCCCAATCTGGCTCAGCTTCTTCTTTATTGAACTCTGCTCTGCCAATTCCATTCGCTAAGCGCCATTTTCTTTTGCTTTAACCTTCGGGGAAGCCCATTCGTTACCACGCATATCCTCTCGCCGTGTCGACTGGCTAGTTGACCCTCCATTAGAATGCGTTTCACAACTCTCGCTTTCGCCGCCAGCTTGGGCTCGGCTGCTGCCCACAGTGCCCATGGCAGCAATGAGCAGCCTGTCCCAAACATCATGGCTGGGAGGAGGGCTTTACAAGATTTTACTGCAGCTCGTCGGACAGTCCAGCGCCGCGCTGCCCATGCCGGGCCAGAGCCTGCGGCCTCAGGGTTGGAAAAGCGCCAGTCTCCTGACGGTCGCTGCGGTCCCGATCATAACAATCAGGTCTGCGACCAAAGTGACTGTTGTTCTAGTGCTGGGTAAGTTATTATTTGCGCACGACAGCTAGGTCTTCGGGAAGTCTAACCGTGCGACAGGTGGTGCGGTCAAGGCTACCTTTACTGCTCAGCTCCCTCGTGCATGATCGAGTATGGTCCGTCGTGCGATGCCAATATCCGCCCCGATGGACCAGACACGACGAATGTTCCCCGGACCAGACTCGGCTCTGTCCCTTATGGTCAGGCCATCTACCACTGCGAGCACTATGGTGACATCGCCTTAACCTTTGACGATGGTCCTTATATCTACACCGAGGATCTGCTGAACAAGCTGAAGGTATGTCGATGTCTCAACATGTGACTATCAATGAGCCGTGCTGACGTACATGCAGGCATACAATGCCAAGGCAACCTTCTTCATTACCGGTAACAACCTGGGCAAGGGCAAGATAAACGATCCAACCACCAACTGGCCTGCTCTCATCAGGGTTTGTCTGCATTTCTCCTGCAGCTTTGATCAATGACTGACCTCCTACAGCGCATGATTGCCGAGGGCCACCAGATTGCTAGCCACACCTGGTCTCATCAGAGACTTACGACTATCAGCGCCGAAAAGTTCCGTAACCAAATGATCTACAATGAGATCGCCTTTGCTGACCTTCTCGGTTACTTCCCAACATACATGAGGTATGCTCACTGTGATCATGGTCAAGTGTGAAAAGCGTCTGTGTCTAACCAAATATAGGCCTCCCTATTCAGCCTGTGATGCTACATGCGAGGGCTATCTCAATGACTTGGGTTACCACATCACCTACTTCAACCTCGATACCGAGGGCTATCTTCATGACAGCGCCGACCTCATCCAAGATTCCAAAGACATCTGGGATGAAAACGTGGAGGGCAAGGACGTCGCCACCACCAAGTGGCTTCAAATCGAGCACGATCCCGTCTATCAGAGCGTCTATAACCTCACAGACCACATGCTCGAGTCCCTCTTCCGCAACGGATTCAAGTCTGTCACCGTCGGTGAATGTCTCGACGACCCCCAAGAGAATTGGTACCGCTCCGTCGGCGATGCCCCGCCATCCACCGGCACCACCACTCGCGTAGCCACAGGGACTGCCACATCTTCCAGCGTCGCCGCCCCTACCGGCACTCTTCCCGCTTCCACCAACGGCCGCTGTGGAGCCAACTTTGGCAGCACAACCTGCTTCACCGAGCCCGGTGCAACCTGCTGCTCATCCGCCGGCTGGTGTGGCAACACGGCCGACCACTGCGGCGTAGCATGCCAGCCTCTATACGGCAACTGCCAGATCTCCGGAGCATCGAGCTCTCCCGCCCCTGTCAGTTCCGCGTCGTCGTCTGCAGCCGTACCCTCGCCGTCCGTAACCAGCTCCGCGCCCGCGGCCACTGGTACCGCGACATCTCCGCCTCTTAGTACCAATGGGCGTTGTGGTACCACGCAGGGCGGCACCACTTGCATCAGCGAACCTGGCGCGACGTGCTGTTCGCAGTATGGATGGTGCGGTGCCACGACAGACCACTGTGGTAGTGGTTGCCAGGCTGGTTTCGGTACTTGCGGTACATCGAACTGATGATAGTCAAGTATGCGTGGAGGCCTCCTGATTCGTCCGTTGATCTTGAAACTTTCGACTTCTCGAGTCACCTCTGCTCTTTGAGCAGAGGAAAAATCTTTAGTGTGTAATCTGATAATGAGACCGCTGAGCTATCAGCGAACTCTCCGCGTACTTATTGGCGTTTTGGCTTGGGTGGAAATCAAAAGGGTATCATGGGCGCTTGATAATATAATTGTAATGAGCAGGATCCTGTGCCAGTTGAATGAAACAAAGGCAACCTAACCGTCTGACTCAAGCACCCTGTGTTCGTGATCTACTCGGGATTATGGCGGCTTGCATGTTCGAGGCAGTATTTTTCCCAGTTGTGACCACTTATCTTAGGCCTTGAAACCGTGTAGTGTGCTAATATGAGATTACAGCGTAAACTTCTGCTTTGCCATGGACTCTAACACAAAGCCAAACGGCTCAAACTCCTTCTAGCATACCTCTCGACTATTCTCCGCAGTTGACTGTATCGATGCGAAAGCTTTTTGTGGACTCTGACCGCGGCGCTGGCGGGCTTACTATTCTCGAGCGTGACATCATGAGTAGAGATCAACTGCTCAGTGCACGAGTCTTGACTCGGAATCTGGGGTCTGGACCGTCCACAAACTTCTGCTGCCCGCGGCCAAAACTTCCGAAAGATGGAGGCCGGGCCGGTGTGGGTCCACCGCAGATCCTTCGGAGTACCGCGTTGCCCGGTTGCCCGGAGAGAGAGTACTGAAAGGCTACATAGAAGGCAGTAGTCAAAAATGCCACGCAGACAAGCCAGGTGGATTTTTGAAGTTTCTGGGAGTTTTTGTTCTAAATAGTTGAGTTCGTCTGAATTTAGTAATAGCTCAGAAAAGAATAGAAAACTTCGTAGGGTCTACGGCAGCTTGGCCACGTTTCATGTGATAGCCGAGACCTCCGCTGTTGGCCTTGGCGTGCCTCTCGGCTACAAGAGCCGGCGGCATCGTGTTCTCTCACCCACATTCGATGGAACTAAAAGATGTTGGTTATTCTCGTATTCAACTCTCTTTCGATCCAACTAGGAGATGAACATGCGAGCAGCGGGTGCTACACCTTGGCAGGTACACTTACTAACGTTCAGTTGACAAGCGGATGAAACGGCCGGCGGCGAACACCTTCATCCAATTTGAACTATTTTTCACGAGTCAGTAGTTGCATATCAGAGCTGACAACATAGGGCAGGTCGGCTCGCACCCAAGATTTTCAAGCAACCGCGAAGCGAACCGATGGCACCGACTAGATGTCGCCAGGCCAAAGGCCGCCCTGTTGGGACCACTTCATTTCGATCTCTATCGACAGTGCCCCTGGGACCTGGGAATTGGGCGGTCAGAGGGGCATGCACAGCCGTTAGAACTGGGTGCTTACTTGGCATTCTATGATTCCCCTCTTGGCCCTGGTTTTGGCATGATTAAAGATTATAGCCTGAACTTTGAGCTGACAGAATATGGGTCCTTCTTGGAAGGTCATGCCTGACTGTGATCATGGCTGAGAAGTATCATATCCTATTCAGAGTGTAGCTGAGGTTTGTCAGCGGTTAGTTTCGATATATGCTTTCCGACCATACTGCATACGGCTTCTAGAACCAAAGATTAGCTAAATACTAGGTATCGTCAGCGTCAAGAAGAAGCAGGAAAGACATCGCTATTTCCACCTTGCCGCTGACAGAAAAAGTGATTAATCGCCGTGTCAGGCGCCATTGACACTTCCTTGAGTGGCATTCATTCATATTCGAATCCATCGTACGTTACATCTGGGTTCATGAGAACTCAAAGCTCCTTAGACTGTAAGCGAGCTGGGCGAGAAGAAGCATCCTCCTTCAATCAAAGCCAAACCAATCCTATCTTTAGACTGGACGACTCCATTTCATGCCACTTGCAGGGCTGTGTTGATGGAAGTTGGAACGAACCGGCTAAAGACTTGGCGAGACCTTCTCCGCACCGGCCTTACAAGGAGACTCAAATAAACTACTTCGCTTTCCTGGGATGCAGAAAAGACCCGTAGGGCTGTTAAGCGGTGTACAAGAAAACACAGTGGGCAGCCCTTGTTTCAAAACGTACCTGTTGCTCATTGTCGTTAATGCTTCGACGTCTTAAGAAGCGCATCGATATAGCAGCCGGTGGGTAGTTCCAGGTTAAGGGCCCACTGAGCACGAGTCGGGCGGCACGTGGAGAACCACACCAACTTACAACCCAATTCATGCATGACTGGAAGATGACTGATCAGTCTTCAGCTCAGGAGCAGGTCGATCTTGTTCTCAGATATCAGAAAGATGCCTTTTCGAGTGTATAAGATCTCAGGGTCAGCTGTAGTGAGAAGAACAGGTTTGCTACACTCATCAAACTCATCTATACACTCTCTCGACTCGCTCTAGCTTACCAGGGCTCATTCCTTTGCCCTTTACATTCTTTATTTTTTCTTTGAAATCTACATCTTCTCTGTGTGTCACTACGAGTGCTTCTCGAAGAAGTTCTCATAATGAGAGCAAATCAACTCCTTCTGGCCTTGGCCTACACTGGCGCTATCGCTACCCCCGTTCCACAAGATACCGGTTCTGCAGACTGCAAGACTGAGGCTCTCAACCAGGACACATGGAAGAAGCTCGAAATCGAGAAGTTCCTTGCTGAATGGACGACCTTCAACGTCAGCAAGGTAGAACATAACGCTGTCCAAAACTTTGCCAATTCCTTCGGCGCACCCAACTTCTTCTGGTGAGTCTCAACCCATGACGTTGTCTGCAAAATATGGACACTAATACCCAGGATAGCGGCCTCGATAGCTTCTGCAATGCCGGCCAACCCTGTTCTCCGGTCAAATTGCCCGGATGGTACGCTCTCGTTGCCGTTCAGAACTGGAATAGCTACATGAACTCTCTCAACACTGCCATCACCTTCGCCTCGAGCATCTTGAGCCTCACCCTCCCGGGCATCGTCCAAGACTTCTACCCGAACCCCAAGGACGATATCACAGACCTCAAGACCATGACCCGCGTCTTTGCTGGCGTGCTATCCATTATCCCCTTCACGGGTCCCCTCAGCACCGTTGCCGGCGCCGTCGGCAGCACCTCCAGCTTCATCTCCACCAATCTCAAAGCCCCTGAGCCCACCAACCTCTTTCTCTCTTGGAGCAATGTTGCCACTTCCCTAGGCAAGGTCGTTCAAAACTGGCAGTCTGCCGTTTCGTCCAGCTTCCAGACCACCATCGACGCACAAGTCAACGTCACGGGGGGCATTTTCCAGATCATCCGCGACGGAAAGTTCCTTGGAACCAGCCGCAATATCACCCAGGGTGACATGCAGAAGGAGATGACGCGCAGTTTGGAACTCTACACGATTGGCCTTGCCCTGCAAGCCCAGAAGGTCTTTGTCCTGCGCTCGCAGCCATTTGCCGAAAAGTGCACAGAGTATACCGAAGCTGAGCTCTGTTCGCAAGATCCCGATGGCCGCTGGCGTCAGTACATTCTCATCCAGCGCTCGGATCATAAGAACTCTATTGGGCGCAAGGATCTTATGAAACTCTTGACTGAGAAGTATCAGTTGAAAAAAGAGACTGTCACCAAGGAAGTGGCTGAATGCGTTGATGCTGCTGGAGGGAAGCAGTTGACGTATCCCTTTGGAGACATCCTGCCTGTTGACAGCACCACAAAATGCATTTTCAACTTGCAGGTTTGTACCTCACCACCAGGTGCGAGGGAGGGCATCATCACAACGTGTGAGGGACTTGGATTGGATGTCTAGGGCCTCCGTAGTCTCTGTATTAGCATAGTGTTTCTTGGAAGAATGTATTGGTTGATACCCTCAAATTTGATCTATAAGTACTTTGCTGCTAGTGTGAAGACTGTTCTCTCTCAGACTCCGAAGTGCAAGGCAACTCAGCTTGGTACTAGTATGAGAATACTACAGTATATATGTCGAGAAATTCAGATTTTGCGCTTCTTAGATTTGGTCATAGGTGAGCTAATGAGAGCGACCTATCGAGAAAAACTCCGTATATTCTCGGTGCTACTTATTCCAAATTACAAGTTCCAGTCAGCAGACGCTTAAAACATTTCGATCAAAGGCTGCAGAGCACTGTATGAGTCCTTGACTGGTGCATTCTGTCCGCGCGTCTGGACGGAGACAGTGAGCTTGCTATGGATGTCCTCCTTAGTCTCAGCTCTAATTGCCCTCATCAGATCCGCGCCAAAAGGGATGTAAGTATACGTCTCAAGCTTGTTCTTCTCACAGTTCTTGCAATTTGCGAGAACCCATCGACTGAGGATTGCATCGCGGTCAATCTCAATCTCACTACCGTCGGCAAGCTTGGCAGAGGTACGGACGACAAACGATCCCTCATGGTCCGTGGTGCTGATGCCACTGACGCGGGCGACAGCGACAAGTGGAAGCTCAGAGTCGCCCAGAACGGGCCCACTGGTCAGAAGGTCAAGGGAACCCTCGCCATACATGTATCCCAACTGATTGATGTCGGTGATGTCGTCTAAAGTGTAGAACACAGGGTCGCTGATGCATCCGGACTTTAAGAAAGGTGCAAGAGGACTGCTCATCTCCAACTTGCTTCCCGGAGGGAGAACAGGGCTTCCTGCGCTGAGTGTTCCCGCTGTGATGTCGGGCTTCACTAACAGGCTACCCGGCTTGGTAAGGCGGTGCTTGACTTGCCATGTCCAGAAGACATAGTCAATGAAGGCATGGTCAAGGAAGAATATGGGGTCGAAGCTAGCGGTTTCGTTCTCTCCCATGTCACCATGGACATCCTCAACAGGTTTAGCGTTCTCTTCTCCGTCTTGATAGAAACCTCCGATGGCAAGATGAACAGCGTTGTGTGGGTCTTCAAGAGAGGTATGGAACTTGCTCTCCAGTGAGCCTTTCGTATTATGAAGCCACTCGCCCCTGGAAGCCTTGTTCGAGAATAGCGTGTAGTTGGGGGCATCGAGACTGGCCTTGTATCTCGAGACGATGGAGACAGTGTCCGGGATTGACGTTGGCGACGCCTTGCCGTCAATCTGGATCTTTCCGCTTAGCCAAGCTGCAATATTGCCGTTGAGAATTCTGGCAACCGAAGCGGGGTCTTTTCCGTCCAAGCTAGTGACACCCGCATGCGGTTAACGAGCCGTCTGTGATCCCGTTGATTTGCTGTAACGCTGGGCATCTGATGGCTTCCCGTGGTTGTCTGCAACTCCCTTCTGAAACTTGTAGGAGTAGAGTGGGTTCGTATTATCCCCATCAAGGTCGAAAGTCGGGGTGGCCAAGATCCAAGGGAGGGGATTGTTCTGGTCGAAGGGCCGGCACTCGTCTAGGAATGGCAGGGCTAGACTTGGAGCATCGGGAACAGCCCGACGCATGGCGTCTTCAAGCGGAAGGAGGTATGCTCGATGCCAAGTGGGGAACAATACTGTCTGATGTTGGCAGTAACCTCTCTGCCAATCGTCTTAAGTCGATCCGCCGGGATAAGGATTCTCCTTTATCCATGGCTCTCCATGATATCCAGCGATAGTGAAGAAGGAGTCTTCGTTACTTGGATCAAGTTGCTGAAGCCTACGGAAGGCTCTGACGATGTTCTCTAGGGTATTGCGATCCTCGCCAGACGTGTACTGTTCGCACACATCTTGGAGAGAAGGACGGACTCTGGACATTGTGAGATACGAAATCGGTGATCTAATAGAGATGGTCAGGGTTATTTGTGGATGATACTGCGTGCTCTGATAGCAGTGAAGCTAGTATCAAGGGAACCTCGGCGACTTTATACCGCTGAAGTTGCGTCAAGATCGATATCGCTGTCTCCAGAAGACGAGAGATGTAATAGTAGCCGCACCTTTTCTCATTCATTAGGCTCCAATGCGGGGACTAGATCTCGATGAACCTCACGAATAGAGACATGCCAGATTACGTAGCCGCCAATGAGATCCTCGATGCGGCATGTTGAAACGCTAGTGATCGTCCAGGTGGTTGAATGCGCACTCTTGTCTCACTTTGCTCAGACTACTGAGCCATAAGATAAAAACGACTTACGCCAAAAGAAGCCTTATTTTTCTTGAGCGAAGTTGAAACTATCACAACGACTCTTTACATGTGATGGTGTGTCGATCAGTCACGGTCCACAGATGCAAGCTTCCGGTCCAGGGGCGTCGAGTGCAACGTGAACTGTTACCAAAGAGAACCGGCCGGTTACTACAGGTAGGAAGAATGCAGAAAGTATGGTCTCGTGTATCATGCCGATCACACCCTTTAGATCCGGCTTTCGTAGTTCGCACATCAATATCTCTGCCAGGAAGCAAGAATTGAACGCGATTGGAACAAACTTGACGATGTAAGCCGAGTCTCGGAATGGCAGAATGATTCGACGAACAGAAGATCGCCACGGATCGACCCCAATATCGACATAATATGCCGAGGCCACTGCGGCAGGTACTTGAGCTTCATTCAACAAAGTCGCGAAGAGAACATCAGCATCTCCAACTACCTTAGTACGTCGCTACTGTCTCAAGGCCACAAGCTTCTGACCTATCATCGAAGTTGATTAGAAACAAAAAGTAAGGATCAGCATCGATTTGGTTCAATGATAATTCGAATATCACGTTCACAAACATGCCGGAGTTGCGTGAACATATAGCAAAGTGACCACCCGTGTCGTATCGCACCGTTTTCGTGCGGCTAGAAAGCTGTTTCCATGGACTGTTCCGATCAGAGACCTCAGACCAGCAGTATTTGTAGCAGAAGCGGGGAAATAGACGAGACAATGACGTAAGTTGACCTGACATGGATACAATCCATTGTCTTAATCGATTCCCTAAGCTAGTGTAATTCAGGCCAGTCAGTAATCGAGGAGCTACTTCCACGTAATTAGATGCTAGTTTTGGATTCGAATCACGCAATTCTGGAGACAAGTTCATAGATCTAAATTCGATGACGGTTCCGAAGTCCATGTTGTTATTCTCAAGTGATGAGAGCAGCACTTACGAAATTGAATTCGTGACAGAAAAGCGCTCGAAAGAAATCTCGATCGTTCGGCAATTATCAAGCTAGTATTTTGGGGGACAATAGTGGTTGACAATGGCACTTCAATGTCTAAAGTAGGGTCATGAGGGCTACTCTTCACAAGATAGGTAGGCACGTGGGAATTGTAAGCATCCAGTCGCCATTGGCATACACGGCGAGGTAAGTATTCTGCAGCCTTTAAGTTATCTATAATGCATCGAAAGAATCAAAAGTTTTGTGGCCCCTCAATGATTGTGTAGGGTTGGATCAAAGCAATGTCTCTAGATACAACATATGCTCACGCCACATGAGCCTCTCTTCTCTTGGGTAAATTGTAATAAGTAGTATTCTAAGTTAAATCCCATTTAGCAGTAAGCTTCGCCACAAGAAATGAAAACCATCAAATTCCGCACTCCTGTATCGTCTAACATGCTAAAGCCTTGGAAGCCTTTACAGAGCGGCTTGAATGTCCTTCTTCAGAGGCCGCATAATAGATTGCTGATTCATGGTGGCGACCATGTTTCCTTGTTGATCCCAAAGTCGGGCTTCAGTGTAAGTTCGGCCGTCGTTGCCAGTGATAGTCTTCATCTCTCTAAGGTGCCAGTTGTCCAGGTTGATTTCTCCAGTGAAGAACCTCAACGCAAAGTCTAGTGAGGAGCAAGGGCCGGCGTCATCCAGGAACTTGCTGCTGTGGGTCAGGGGGATGAAGGACAGAGCTGCGTCCAGAATGAACCCCAGTGCAGAGAACCGATCTTGGAGTCGCTCCAGGGAATGGCGGCAGCGGAACCAATCAGCTGATGTCTTGGATGTCAAGTCGAGACTTTCCTGGGGCGTCTTGACAGTCTTGGCCATGCCGTAGAGGTTGTTCGGTGCAACTGTCTCCGGACAGCCGCGGGTCTCAAAGAAGCGGTTGTTGAAACCAAAGGTAGCCAGGTACAGATTCCCCAGCTTTCTTGTCACGACGCCCCTCCGCACCTTATCTTCAGTGGCCTCCTGCGTTGTAAGACACTTCTCAGGCGGTGAGTAGCTCATTGATGGCGGCGCAGAGTACACGAGAAGAGAAGCCTCTTCTTTCACTTGGAAATCGGCTAGCATGATCATGCAGAGCCTGGATTTGCCATCGTCCTGGTCTTGGCTGATCTCGACCAATCTCGTAGCGAATGTTCTCGTATCGCGGACTCGTCGGACGGCACATTTGAGCTTGCGGTCTGTCAACGCCGGGCCTAGGTAGTTGCCCGTCGCCGAATAGAGCAGGTACTTGGGCGATACAGTGCTGCATGCCACTTGAACGCCGATACTGATGGTACAACCCCCGTAGGCAATATTTGCCTTGTTTCCCATGCGGGCGGGATCGGCGCGACTGGTGAAATGGTCTGATCCCAGGTCGTCTACCGCAACTTGCTCCTGCATTGTGCTGGCCATAGAACCGTGTGACATGTTGAGTAATTCGGCCTGAGCTGTCATATGGTAGATCCTTGCTGTGGTTCACACAAAGTTTGGGCGGAAATACGACGCTGGTTTTGTTGATAAGACGTTCAGTAATCAAGCGATGTCGGCTCTGAGTTTATGTCCTTCCGCTGTCTAGATCGTTGCCGCCTAGTCGCGTTGGCGCGCTGCCTCGGTGCCTCCAACAGGTTGGGGAATTGGGGGGCCGCTCACAACCGAGGTTGGCGTTTGAGGAATGTGAAGGTGGGGCAGGTCGGCCATGCTTGCGCTAACAGGTGAATTAGCAGTCATTGCCATGTTGCCTTTATGAACATGGATTCCAGGAGAGTCGATACAATCAGCACATAATATGCATGTAGGCTGTCAAGATTCGAACCCTTGTTGTCTCTTTTGTGAATATACTTACTTCCCCTGGAGACCCCGTCCTCATGCCAATACAACAATTGAACTCACCACCTAGAACCTTGGAGCTTGGTGCTACACGTGTTGGTCTCCAAACTGATTTCCGATTTGGTTTTGGTTGGTCCTAGGAAGGTTTGTGATGCAATTGCAAGGGCCGGGAGCTTGTGTACACCTCGGCTGTAAGTGGGGCCGAGAAGGTCGTGTCTGTGACCTCGGACTTTGAATTGCCTTCAACATTTTGTGGCTGGATTTTTGTTATTTGATATGTCTAATTACATGTACTATATTTTCCTTGGAAGCCTGACCCGGTTAAGGTCGATCTTTTGCGCCTGTAAAGCCGGGGAAAAAGGACCACATACGATCAATCCGCGACCATTCATTTTGTGTGGTGCAGCCTCAGTTGAGGCACCTATCGTTGCTAATGACAAGAATGAGGATGAGAGGGTGTAGAAGCTTACGGTTCTCGTGTATTATATTCGGGAGTAACGAGCATTACCTACTGTGATAGATTTCAGGTCTCCAGATAGCATGTTCCTGTCGCAGCGCTACACTTGACGCTGCCAAATGTGACTGTATCGTACTGCAATGCGAGAGCTCGACTCTTCGGGCAGATGTGTATGACCCATCATTGGGCCCTTCTTTTCCAGGAACAAGCTACATTATACTATCGATGTCTTCCACCTGATCCTTCGCTCTGCGATAACCTCGTCTATAACCTCGTCTGAGGGTCAGAAGCCATAGCTTGTTTCCGTCGAACTAAGGCACGTAGACCCATGGCAAGAGCACCCTCTTAGTATATATCAATGGCATCTTTCCTCTTCACAGGCACCAACGACATGACCAATATCTTGGGACGGAAGTGCACCAGGTGATCAGCCGTCAGGTTGTGTAAAGACCCCGGCCTAAAACACGTCGGAATAGTGTGAGCTATGAGAGTCTAGTGAGAGAAAGCATTATTTGTGTACAGCAAACTCCGAAACACTGTCAATTACTCTAGAGCAGAGTTGTTTTCAATTCTGAGAAATCAACAGACGTAACTACAGTTTGTACATCCGTCCGAATGCTAGGGGTTAAAGTGTAGAGTCAGGAACTCATGAGGTCTTAATTCTAGAATAAATTGTTTATTCAAGCTTTTTGAAAGGCAGAGAACGCAAGCTTTCTACAAAATTTTGATCTCGTTCCTTGATTCAAGTGTGATTGCGCGGCAGTCGGCCTGCGAAACAAAGTCACGCTTCGAGTTGAAACTTATAAATGTAACCGGACATCAAATCAAGTTTAGTAGTTCTGGTGCATTTATGTAACGTTCTCAGCCGTGGGTATCTCGTATTTTAGTCATTGCAGACTTTGTGTAACTAATAATTATTTACAGGGTGGTTTCATAATCTAAGACGAACGGCAGGCAAAGGGCTTGTGAGCGCTTCCAGAGCTTGTCTCGTCGATCTTTTTGGTGTTAGTACATTGGACGTATGGTACAGTGAAGTTGTTGAACTTACAATATCAACGATAGTTGAGTAGGTGCCGGCAACCAATGTGACAGCTCCGACGATGAACGCCAAGATGCTGCCAAGACTGATGAGGATGTTCTCGCGCGCGAACCATTTGCCCTTGCAGAGAAGGGTGAACCACATGATAGCAGGAATGTAAAAGGAGAATCCGGAAACAAACAGCGCCGAAGCCAACGAGAGCAGGTCGGAGAAGATGGGAATAGCCTCAGCAATCACCCACGCAATAATGGTGAACACGACAACAAGGATGATCCAGCTGGCCCAACCCATGGGAGTGTTAATGTACTTCAAGTGAGAGTTCTTGT